TTACATAAAACAATAGAAATCGCAAAAATTGGAGAATAAAATACTCCCTTCATTTTGTTTTGTTGTCAAATTTCTGAGTAAAGTGAATTCACCATGATGCAATACAGAAAGAACAAGGACCAGGGGATGTAATTTTAAGTATTCAGTGGCAATGCGCAGAGCGTTCCAAGTAGCAAAATTAATTTGTATCAAATATAAAATTAAACGGTGGTTCTAATACATTTTTTAATATTATTAATCAAAGTACATACATTATATGGTATTTCTTTAAAAAATTAATGCATATATGCATTTTTTTAAATAATTCTTGTTTCTTTCATTACTGCTGAAAAGCAACCCTGCGTGTAAGAAATCAAAGTACATACATTATATGGTATTTCTTTAAAAAATTAATGCATATATGCATTTTTTTAAATATTTCTTGTTTCTTTCATTACTGCTGAAAAGCAACCCTGCGTGTAAGAAATTATGTGGTACTTAAAATTTCACCTCTGGAAACTTTATCCCCATAAAGGACTTCACCACAGTTTTTTTACTGGATATACTGAGGTGCAGAGTTTTCGCGTGGCTACGCGCTATATTTGACGACCAAATAGTCTAATGCTTGCACGTCTTTGAGTTTTTATTACTTTACTCCGAAAAAACTGCCTTATCATGAGTTTCATTTTCCCCGAACCGGTTCACTTTTCACTTTTGGTTTCCCCATGGTTTTACTATGGGCGGATGATAAATTTTCGGGTGATTTTTTTTTAGGCGAAACTCAGGATAAGGCAGAATGTGTTATTCTTTCAAGAATAAAAAAGAATGACACTCCTTTTTTTAACAAATGCTTCGTTAAAAAAAAAGAATTATTAAAATCGGCTCAGTGCTTTGAGAACCAACCATGGACAAACATTTTCCATATAATACATTTTATTTAATAATATATAGATAAGCAACTGGTTTTCCTATTTTCGTTAAACTGCTATTTGATGTCCAAAGTTATACGCTTTTCCTCTGGGGCTCGCTATCTAGTTAGGTTTAGTTTAATCAATACAATATTCTTATGGTTTTCCATATGCTATACTGTTCCTGTTTTGTCTGTTTTTGTCTTTTATATTAATTGTTACGATTACTTATTTTAATTCTTAATGTTGTTGTTGTAGCAGCATACAAGCTCCCCAAAGAGTTTTTGGGGTGTTGCTGGAGTGACAGCCATTGGCCAAATATAAATCTGGGTCGTTCCGGTTACGTAGACCCGACTGTCGTGGGAACGTTTAATTCTTAATCTTAAGTTTCTTCTTCTTCTTCTTAATAGGCGCTGTAACCGCCTAAGCGATTTTGGCCGAGTCCAAAACAGCACGCCAGTCATTTCTCTTCTGTGCTAACTGACGCTAATTGAAAATGCCAAGTGAAGCCAAGTCCTTCTCCACCTCGTCTTTCCAACGCAGAGGAGGCCTTCCTCTTCCTCTGTTACCAGCGCGAGGCCCGCGTTGAATATTTTCAGAGCAGGAGCGTTTCTGTCCATTCGAACGACATGGCCAAGCCAGCGGAGCCGCTGAATTTTAATTTGCTGCACTATGTCTATATCGTTGTAAAGCTCATAGAGCTCATCGTTAAATCGTCTGCGATATTCGCCATCACCAACGCGTAAAGGTCCGTAAATCTTTCGCAGAATCTTTCTCTCGAAAACTCCAAGAGCCAAGCCTCATCAGATGCTTTCATTGTCCATGCCTCCGCGCCATACACCAGCACAGGCATGATGAGTGACTTATAGAGTGTGATCTTTGTACGACGAGAGAGGACTTTACTTCTCAATTGCCTACTCAGCCCAAAGTAGCACTTGTTGGCAAGAGTGATTCTCCATTGGATTTCAAGGCTGACATTATTATTGGTGTTAATGCTGGTTCCCAAATAAACGAAGTCGTCTACTTTTTCAAACTTGTAGCTGTCAACAGTGACGTGGGTGCCAAGACGCGTATGCTCTGACTATTTATGTGATGACAGGAGATACTTCGTTTTGTCCTCGTTCACCACCAGACCCATTCGCTTTGCTTCTCTATCCAATCCCGAGAAGGCAAAACAGGCGTAGCCCTTGTTTTTACCGATAATATCGATGTCGTCGGCATACGCCAGCAATTGTACACTCTTGTAAAGTATTGTGCCTGAGCGGTTCAGTTCTGCGGCTCTTATTATCTTCTCCAACATCAGATTAAAGAAATCACACGAAAGGGAGTCCCCTTGTCTGAAACCTCGTTTGGTATCAAACGGCTCGGAGAGGTCCTTCCCTATTCTGACGGAGCTGGTGGTATTGCTCAACGTCATTTTACACAGCCGTATTAGTTTAGCGGGGATACCAAATTCAGACATCGCGGCATTAAGGCAACTTCTCTTCGTGCTGTCGAAAGCGGCTTTGAAATCGACAAATAAATGGTGTGTGTCGATCCTATTCTCGCGGGTCTTTTCCAAGATTTGGCGTATTGTGAATACCTGATCTATGATGGAATTTCCAGGCCTAAAGCCACGCTGATAAGGTCCAATCAGCTCGTTGACGGTGGGCTTCAGTCTTTCGCACAATACGCTCGATAAGACCTTGTAACCTATGCTTAGAAGGCTGATTCCGCGGTAGTTGGCGCGTATGGCGGGGTCGCCTTTCATGTGGATTGGGCAGAGCACACTTAAATTCCAGTCGTCGGGCATGCGTTCATCTGACCATATTGTGCATATCAGCTCCTCGCCGCCGTACTTGAATAGCTCGGCTGGCAGGCCGTCAGCTCCAGCAGCTTTGTTGTTTTTCAGCCGCGTAATCGCTATTCGTACCTCGTCATAGTCAGGCGGTGGGACAGTTACTCCATCATCATCGACTGGGGACTCGGGTTCGTCTTCTTCACTACTTTCAGCGCTGCTACCATTCAGTAGGTTATAAAAGTGTTCCCTCCACAATTTAAGTATATTCTGGACATCGGTCACTAGGTCGCCATTGTTGTTCCTACAGGAGTTCGCCCCGGTCTTGAAACCTTCCGTAAGTCGCCTAACCCTCTGGTAGAATTTTCGGGCGTTCTTCCTGTCGGCCAGCATATCAAGCTCTTCGCACTCACGTATTTCGGCCTCTCTCTTCTTATTGCGGCAAATACGTCTCGCTTCCTTCTTCAGTTCCCTATAACGGTCCCACATTGCTCGCGTTGCGCCCGATCGCAGCGTGGCCCTGTAGGCGGCATCTCTTTTCTCTGCGTCTTCTGTTCTTTCGGGCTCGCCAGTTGTTCTTTCAGGCTCGCTGAAATCCAGCTACTTCTTCGGCGGCGGTACTTAATGATCGGGAAATGTGGTTCCACTGCTCGCGTATGTCGGATTGTTGAAGAGTGCTCTCAGAGAGCAGGTGTGTGTCGAGTGGCGAATAAGTTGGCCGTCTGTCGTGATTGCAGCTTTTCGACGTTAAGCTTTCCTTGCATTGTTGGGCGCACATTTTTTGCTGCACAGAGGCGGGTGTGTATCTTGGCTACAACAAGATAGTGGTCCGAGTCGATGTTTGGCCCTCGGAGTGTACGCACGTCCAAAACGCTTGAAGCATGCCTTCCGTCTATCACAACATGATCGATTTGGTTTCTCGTTTTTCGATCTGGAGACAGCCATGTAGCTTGGTGGATGTTCTTATGCTGGAACCTAGTACTACACATTACCATATTTCGGGCCCCGGCGAAGTCGATCAGCCTCAGTCCGTTATCGGACGTTTCGTCGTGGAGGCTGAATTTTCCGACAGTGGTGCCAAAGATCGCTTCGTTGCCCACCTTGGAATTAAAATCGCCAAGCACGATTTTGACATCGTGTCGGGGGCAGCGCTCATATGTACGTTCCAACCGCTCATAGAAGAGATCCTTGGACGCCTCATCCTTCTCTTCCGTCGGGGCATGGGCGCAGATGAGCGAGATGGTGAATAATCTAGCTTTGATGCGAATTGTGGCTAGACGTTCGTCCACCGGGGTGAACGCCAGTACTCGGAGACGGAGTCTCTCTCCTACCACGAATCCAACACCGAATTTGCGCTCATTTACGTGGCAACTGTAGTAGACGTCGCAAGGCTTCACGCTTACTTTTCCCCGTCCATCGCATTTCTTGGATGGCGGTGATGTCAGCCTTTGTCTTCCCGAGGACATCAACCAGCCGGGCAGAGGCACCTTCCCCATTAAGGGTCCCGATATTCCAGGTGCATACCCTTAAATCATAGTCCTTTATACGTTTGCCGTGGTCGTCATCAGAAAAAGGGGGTCTCATCCGAGGCTGTTTTTTTCTTTTCATTGGGCGGGGTTTTAACGTGGCGGGACCCAAGCCCAGCGCACGCGAAGTTTTACGCCTTATCACTTTAGCTCGCTCCCAAACGGGTGTTTGGTTGCTACCCAGAGGATACGTGGATATAAATATCCGGACGTTGTGAGCTGCGATTTGAACCGTACGCACAAGAATCGCTTCTGGCCACTCCCAGGTGAATGGCAGTCAAAAGTTTTCCACTTCTGCGCACGGAACCATCCTCCAATCTTAAGTTTCAGTTGCACTAAAAAGATCTTTGGGATCTTATTGTACTAACGTCATGTTTTATAATAAATGGAAATGGATATTGTAGTAGGTTAAACTCCTGCTTGTCCAGACTAGACCCCGACGTACCCTATATATGGCCGACATGTGAACGTTCCCCACTTGACAACAACCCCCTCTTCACATGACCACTAAACTCAACTCAACTAACATTCCGCTCCCTTTGGTTTGACCCCGTCGAAATAACTCGTTTCCTAGGCCTACAGTTAGTTGAGCCTGGCGACAACGATTGTGCGACTAACCGATTCTATACGAGCATAGGTAGCCGCTGCTACTAAAACAGCAAAAACATGGACAGACGCCGTACCCGTTTCGCCCTCTAAACTTTAACTCGCTCCCACGGATGTTTGGTTTTTACCCAGACGATACTTGACAGTTTCGCGCGCATCTACACTCAGAAGCAACTAAGAGTGATTTAAGCAAAATATCCGCTATTCGTTTTAAGTAAATGAAAACTATTTTAGAGATTTATTTTTAGGTATAAAAGACTTGCAAAAACTACACATTTGTAAAAAAATTAGACACTTCCTTAATTGAAGGCCGTATCAGGTATCCGTTTTTTCTCACAAAAACTTAAAAAAAGCAGAAGTGATTTTTTGATGTCCCATTTCGCGTCATCTAAGAAACTAATAAAAGTTAATATTTAGTAAATTCATACGTTGCAATTGTTTGAATATTAGATTAAATCTCCCTTACCGCGTACACCATACCCATTTGAGGTTTGTTACTTCTTGAAACATTATAATGAGAGCTTCTTTATCGGCTACAGTTACTTCGTCGTCATTGTTCTGCCCCTCTGTTTTAAAATACTTGAATGCCTTTTTAGTTTGCTGAGCCGTTGGGTTGTATATACTAAGTTGTTCATTACAAATTTGGTACTTTATAGCTCTGCCGAGAATCCCCTGTTAAAAGAAAAGGCTAATGATAAGAAACGTGCATCTTCAGATTAAGTTGTGACCATTTTAACATACTTGGTGCTTTTCTACCGGTGTAAGTACAAAACTGCGCGTGAATGCCATTAGTATGTCATTATCCATCATGCTTGGTGCTTGATCGTAAAAGACGCCGCTGATTGTTATCACTATAATTTTGTCCTATCAGTAGAATTGTGTTTAATGTTAAGTGTAATGATTATAAGAACAAGCAATACATACATTGTAAATCATTGTATCTGTGTTAAAAGTCAACAAATCGTGTCGTATACTGGGCAGTTGCAAAAACATTTGCATAATTTGGTCAGAGCCCAGATGTATACTTGTGTGGGCCCGAGAGAGATCTGACATTTTTAAAATATTTCTACTATTTTCACGATACTTGGATATGCGTCGAAAATTTTGCGACGTCATTTGGGCAATATGATAATTAAAGGAAACTGTAAGCATTGCATTGCGCTGGTAAAGTTCTGAGAAAATTTGAGCAATAGTAATGAATGTATTTAAATTAGAATCATTTATGCTACCTTTCAAAGATTGACGCTCATTTGAATCGAATGCCTTGAAGTATAGTGGAACAAATTCGTCGACGAAATCGTATCCTCTTACATCGCACAGGAAATTTTTTTTGGGAAGTTAAAGAGCCTTCTTTTTTTAAGTCAGTGTTATC